AGGATAGTTTAGGAAAAAAATGGAAAAGAATTTACAGGGACAGAATTGGTCTGGCTAATGTACACTACATCCTTTCAATTTTTTCCTTATCATTGTTAAGCTGCACTCTCCCTGAAAAATAGAGAAATAAAGTAAATAATTATCCCAAGTAGGCCCATAGACTTTTTAACAAGCATTCTTTCCAGGGAAAGGACCCAAACAAAATATAATTTAGTACATATATCTGTTGTTATTTTACCATGCTAGACTTTCCAAACTGATGGTCTGCTGGGATGGCATCTGTCTCCTTATATTATACAGCTTTTTGGGGTTTCTGGGTTTGGATTCTTTTATGCTTCCAACGAAGTAGCTTACAGCTTGCTTGGGCAAACTTAAAGGTCTACAGTTGATGTATACTGGAACCTAACAAGCATAGTTATCCTAATTAACCTTCTTGGAAAGTGTAAATATGATTATACGGATATTCTCATTCCTTAAAATATTAAACTAATTATTAGTGTGAGAAGAACTAGCACTGGATAAGAAAACACACGTAGTCAGGTAGGTGTCCCTCCTACACAACATGATGCTGAAAAGGAACACACTCTGCAGACCAGTCAGGGTGGTCTAGTTAAGGACATGCAGTATTGTGCAAAATCTTGAGCCAAGTCTTTCTTTATAGTTTATTCCTAGGAGCCACATTGTTAAAGTGGTCTTGCATAGTAGTTTTCCAGGCTTTCTGAAGGCATTCTAAAGCTTTTCTTCAGATTTTTCAAAAGTTTTCAGTCTAGTCCTTGTACCTGATCATTTTCAGAGAATTTTGTTTGGTTGTTTTGTAAGCCACTTACTACCTATGAATCATTCAAGTATAACATACACCTAATGCAAGGTATACACCACTGCTGTTTCAACACATAACAGACAACTTAGCAAATAACGTTTTAAATTGTATCTTTAGAGATATAGTTACTAGCAGTCTGTCTCAAAAACACATAATTTTTTCCCATTTCTGTATGAAATGAAATGCCAAATATAGCACAGTTTGACAGACATCAAATAACATTGGTGCATCAACAAGATGATTCCTAAAGAGGTATTAACCAAAGACTTGCTATATCATTGCATGATGAGCAATTATATCCCTAAAAATATATACATTTTGGAGGAAACTGGACAAGTGGAGGAGAAAAAACGTGAAGGCTTAAAAAACTTCAGGTTTTGATTTACACATCTTTCATAGCAACAGAAAAGTGGTTAGCTAGCCACTTCTGCCACACATGTGACATGCTACTCTTGTTAAGATAACTCGTGACATTTTACATTGTAGAATGTTAGCTTAGTTGCTACTGGAATTTTCCACTCCATGACTTGTGACAGTTATACTTCCTTCAAAGTTAGCAGCTTTTTCTCCACTCATTGCTAAGTTGCATGAATCTCAGAACATTCCGATTTTACAGCAGTGTTGCTCACAGCGTTAACATGATTTCAACCTTGGCAAAATCTGGGCAAACATGGACCTACTTGGAAATAGTAGCGAGTGACCCAAGCAAGGTCAGCCAGAAAAGACCACTGGAAGCATAACACTGGCTAGATCACATCAGAACAAGTTGCCTAATTATTGCACAGTTTATCAAAAAAAAAAAAGGGTTTAACTCATTCTTTATTTTATTGAAACTTCAAACACAAACCATATGTTGTTACAAAATGTTTTAGTATCAGTGTTGTAGACTTGTAGTCAAGACCGCCTAAACTAAGACAAAGACAATATCAAGACCAGAGGGTATTGAGACCAAGACAAGACCAAGACCAAGACAGACTGAGTCAAGACCAAGACAAAGTCGAGACGAGACCGAGACAAAAAAGTCTTTAAACTGCAGCCAGATGCTGCTTCGTTTACGGGTGTCAGGCATATTTATGTGTTTTTGCAATGCACTTGCACAGACCTCCTCACCGCTGTCTACTGTCTCACTCACTTACTGAGAGGACAGTCAGTAAGCGAGTCGTGTCTCTCACCCTCTGTTTTTCACATAATGATATTATCCTATATCCTCGCGTGTGATTGGCCACAATATGGAGGGATTGGAGCATAGCTGAGCCACTGTGTGAGAGCTGTGCAGCGAAACAAAATCAAGTGAGGAGCCAGCTCTCGCTCAATGGGAGTCGACTCTTCTGATTCACTACAAAGCACTCTCTAAGCACGGCTCTTAGAGCTGATGCTTTTGCACATGACACATTATCGAACGTTACGTTGTGTGTCATGGATACTGTTGACTCCAAATCTCCAAATCTATGTCGATTTGAGACAGCAAGACCGAGACAGCGAGACCAAGACAAGACCAAGGGATCCAAGACCAAAGTCAAGACAAGACCAAGACCACGTAAAAGTGGTCTCAAGACCGGTCTTGGTCTCGAGACATCCAACTCTACAGTGTTGCCTTCACAGACGTACTTGTTACCTTCTGACTTTATCTTGGGTATGCAGTGATGTAAGTCTCAAGGCTAAGCTATCGTCTGCGGTATATCAGTGCATGAAAGGCAGAAACATTTCAGTATATGTTGAAAGCACACACGTTGAAGTAACCACACCTTGTCAACACTTTGTGACAGGAATCCACTTTACTAGTTACTTAGCGTTTATACTGTGTGTGTGTGTGTGTGTGTGTGTGTGTTTCAGATCTCGTGAGTGCCGTTTCTGAGAAAAATGGTATAACTTTTCTGGCAGGGAAGGCAAGGCAGTTTAATGGTGTGTCCCTTTTCTCGACAGGGTGCAATGGTGCTCAAACACCTTCATTGATAGTGTTTAAATTGTGGATCAGGAGACTTTTCACAACACAATATTGTGCAGCCTTCAATAAATGCAAGAGTCCTTGACAAATTACACAAGCTATAATTCTGAAAAATGATCCCCGTTAAAATAAGGACCTGTGTTCCCTTCATACTCTGAATGTGCCACAAGGTTCAGGCTTTCCACATAGTGAAATTTGAATCTCTACTCTCTTGGCTGCTGAACCTTTGCAGTTCTTCGAATTGTCTCTCTGTCCTTTCTCTTCCTTACTGTTTGATTTAGTCGACTATGAAAAGCTCTTGCCTCCTTTGCTCTCAACCCCCTGTGTGTCTGAAGCAGGTGAACACCCACATACTCACACCACCACAGAACCCGGCCCCTGACTGGTTTTAAGTCCATGACAAGGAGCCCGCACTCTGAATATCAAAAGACCCGCATCTGAGAGCATTTAGGCATGACTCACACCTGGCTCTGTCTTACTCCCAGCAGACTACCTGAGCGTCCATCTTGCTAGTTGTTGCAGGGGTTTCTTGAAGAGGCTGATCAGCTGCTGCCGCGTTTGAAAGTGTGGATAGAACTTGAATGTATTTGTCACCCGGCTATGTGAACATTTGAAAATCCCAGCAGTGTGCTGTGATTTTTAACACGCCCATTTGTCCCACCCGCTTCCTGCTTCCATGCCGCGGGTCATTTTCAGACGGGAAAAAGCGCCTGTGCTCTCTTCAGCACTATGTCAAACCATACAAGGCACATAAGAAGGGTAGAGTAGCTGTGACAGCTACAAAGTGGCTGAGGGAACTGTGTACTTTAGTTGGTCTGCTTCAAATAAAAGAGCCACTAACAGCAACAAATCACAGCTCTGCAACACAGCAACTTCCCCCCGTGATAGAAACCTTTTTCATTAGTGTTCCCTTTTTTACATGTCTCGCTCTCTGCTAGATACAGTGTACAGAGCTTGTTACACTATGCATTCAGCACAGAAGTTTTCCTTGAGTTTGGCAACTTGAAATAGCATGTTGTGTCTACCGCTGTGCATGTATGACTGGTGTGTGAATACTAATGTGCATCACTGGCCTGTCAGAGTCGCAGGCCTATTTGTATGGATGCTAGGCTATACCTTGGTTGAGGTGTGCACAGGACTGGTGCAGTAGCCTGTCTTGTGCAGCAGGCCAGGATGACATGTGAATCGCAGCAGCCGAGAAAGCCCTGTTTAAGTGGAGGCAGTAGGGAGAAGCAGGGAAGAGCCAGGAGGCAAACAGACAAACAGATGGACAGGCTGATGCCAAGCAGGCAGTGGAGCAAATAGATTGTGCAGCATGGTGAACAGACTCAGCCTACCAAAGAACAACCAACAGACACAAGACCGTGCCACCCTTGTCAGCTGCTTGTGCTTCTCTATAATTCATAGAGATAGGATAGATATGTGGTAAATAGGACTCTCATCTTCCTCCTTCTTCTCATCTGCCCATGTCACATCCCTCATTTGATATGTGTTATGTAGGAGGAGGAGATGTCAGTCTTGCAAGATGGGAAATGAACAAACCTGTATGTGGGAGAAGTGAAGTGAGAGGAATAAATGCAGGAAAGAGATGAGCGCTGCAGGTGGAATTGGACTGCGGGACACTGGGGACTCCAGCCCAGCAACAATACACAAATGCACAGTACACAAACAGAAAAACAAAGCCCTTACTCAGTTTCAAAACACACCGTTTTGGCTTTAGGATTTGAAGCTGTTTTTGCAACAAAAACCCCCAAAAACATTTAAGGTCAAGGAAAAATGATAGCAAAGGAATAATGATTTGTCAAATGACAGGACTTGTTTGAAGATTAGTCCTTTTGTTAAAAAAAAGAAAGAGTCTGGACATACTTCCACACTGTGGGAGTCTGGAGAGCAGAACTACCTTTATGTTTTAGAAACTCATGGAAACTCAAGTATTTAGCCTGTATTTCCCTGAGGGTTTGGGCACATGCTCACTGGAGCAATAACCTTTGCTTTAATGCAGGAGAAGATTGTAAGTTTTCCTTAGAGACTTTGCTCTAAAATGTGAGGTGTTCAGATTTGCTCAGTCTGTTTTTTCCCCTTCTCTCTCTATGGAAAACATCTAGCACTGTGCAAGTCAAACAGAAAACCACCTTAAAGAGCTGACACAGCCCTGTCAGATCTGTCGGGCTGCGTACCAACAAAGACTAATGCTTTGGTTGTGTGTATGTGTGTGTTTGTTGTCTGTCTACATAGGTAGAATGTAAGAAGGCCCAGCCCAAGGAGGTGATGTTCCCACCAGGTACACGGGGGCGAGCCAGGGGTCTGCCCTACACCATGGATGCCTTCATGCTGGGGATGGGCATGCTAAGTGAGTTATACTTGTGCAGATATCTAAACAGGACTCTGTGAATATTTGGGCATATTTCCATGAGATCTTCCAAGACTTGCTTCTGGTGTTTTTACCTCATTTTGCCAATCCCATGATGGTCAATCAAGAAAAAAGCCGATGCATGAATTTTTTAGGCAAAACTATGTTTTGTTTTATCCAGACCAAATGCCAGACGTGCACACCATTCAGTCACCAATTTCTATCTGCTTAAAAAATCAACTTATGCAAACTTTTGTCTAGATAGCCCCATTAGGTGGGCGCTGCCCCTAATTAGGCTGCTTCAAGGTGTGCCACCAGTGGCCACTGTGGTCTATTTCTGGTTGAGTGTGGTACAGCCAGCCCCTGGGCATATAGGAGCAGACCAGCACATTAGCAGGCTAAATGAAGAGGAAAATTGGTGTAATGTCATATTAAGGATTCATCACTGTGCCCCCCTTAATGGGTAATGAAGGGGACACACATGTCAGAGAGAGATCTCATCTACAGGGACCTCAGCTGCTGGCCCACCCCTCTTCATTACCATCCAGCCTATGCCTGTGGCCCTTTTTATTTAACACTATTGCACTCTCTCCCTCCCTGCCTCCCCACTCACCCGCTATCCATCTATGTGTCTGTATGTCTGTCTGTAACCAAATGGATTTGCAATCACATTAAAGATTTATTTTTTCATTTTTTTTCAGAAGCAAAAGAGACATATCGCTGATTGTAAGAAACTCATTTTGTGCTGCACGTAGCCCCTCCCTCTCACAGCAGGTGCAGGTGCATTTGTGTCTCCCGCAGCTCTCAAAGCTGAAATTCATATTTCGCTGTCGCTTGTTTTGCATTTTCTCAAAAACTGAACAATCACTGAGGCCCAAAGCTATTCTTACCAAAGAAGAGGGCAGTAAACTAATTATCTGTGTTATCTATCTATCCATTTATCTATATACAGTTGCTTTAACTGTCATGGTTATTGCAGCCTTGACCTTTCCATGGGGGTGATTATACAGTTGTTTGTGGTAAAAGTGTTGATACGTTTGGCTGAGTGCTTCTGTCAACTCTATCTAAGTCGCTCCCAGTTCCATCTCATCTGTTAGAAGTATTTAACAAGCACAGTGAACTTTTCAGAACTTATTACAGACTAATGTGTCTGCGAAGAGGAGAGCACTCTTCCCCTCCATTGGGAGACGGCAGGCAGAAAGGCAGTGATGTGCTCATGTGAGAATATTAACAGCCAACTTGTTTGGAGACACTCTTATCTAAATGAAATTGGAACAAGGACAGCGAAACATTCCTTTATATAATTTGCATTTGGAAAAAGGGACCCTAGGCTCATTATTTAAGAAAGTGTAAGCTCCTTTTGTGCCAAATCTCATTAAAGCCATCCCTAGCTCCTTTGTTTACTGCCTCTAATCGAGGCATTTATCTTTATTGTGTTGCGCCGATGTATGTTTGCTGAAATTAATACACATTTGAGCCTGGGCGAGGTATGGATGTACCAGATGGATAATTGATTTTAAAGTGAATCAGAACTGTTGAGCCATAAAATAGGTACATTAGCATGCATATTAATAAGGCAAATAAGAGCACTAAGAGGCCGCCACAAGGCCAGACACAATGGCAGGCTTCATTTAGTGAAATAGTAGGAGAGACAGTGAGTTATCTCCTTCTTCCCCGTACTTTCTCCCCACCTACCACACTGTCTGGTCTGAAAATATTTGTGAGTTTGCACATACTAAGACTTTCATGAGATAGGAGATGAACTTAGTATGTATCTCAGGCTAGTGTCACTTTGTATTTGGCTCTCTCCTTTGACACACTGTGCACACACATAACTGAAAACTCTTTGCTTAGTAAAAAAAACCCCAATTTTAATGCGGTACATCAGACAAGGAAAGTGGTCTTGCTGTTTCAGAAAATGTCAAAATAAGGACGTATGAGAAGCTTGGGTATCTAAGCCAACAATTTTAGTTTGGCACTTATTCTGTTTGACAGTATCAAACACATAATATCCAATATTTTGCTGTCTGTGATAGGTTTTTCGTTGTATCGTATCACAGTTCTTTTCAGACCAAACAAACAATGAGAGGCTTTGTGAAAGCCGTCCATCTGTAACTTCCCGGTGATGACTTCTCATCAGCAGCTGATGAGCATTGTTATTTTTTTTTTCTGGCGTAGCCTCTGTCCTACTTCATCCATACCAGGTTAAGGTTCCCCTCACCGCCTCTCAGCGTTGCATTTCTTTTTGTCTGCTAGAAAAGGGGAGAGGGTCTGAGAAAGGCATTTTCCCATTGGGTTGGGAATAAATTGAACTTTTTCATGGACAGCAAACACTGATTAGATATTTATGACCAAGGTCAACCTTTCTGATTCCAGCTGGCAAAGGCTCTGAGGCATACAGAACAGAGCATCACACACATTCTCCCTCCCTCACTCACACACACGCACACATAGCTTGCTCACACTCAGAAGCATGCATGCAAAATATGTTTTGACGCCTTGCAAACACATACATACAAGTGCATGTATACATATATATAAAAACATATATGTATATGGTATATGGATCGTGCACACATACTTTCTAATAATGTTTTACTTAGTTGTATTTAATGTAATACCAAATATCCAGCACTGTCTAGAGAAATGCAGCTTCTAAATTACGGTCTTGACATTTGAATGGTATTGTGACTGCAGCCACTTTATCGGGGTAGTAAACAGCTAACGAGAGCTGAGGACACACGTGCCTGAAAGAGGTTTCAGAGGTCAGTTACTGAGGTGTAGCTTACACACAACAAAGAAAGAGTTATCAAGGCTGATTCATTCTTAGCCGTAAGGACGTCATCGTGCTAGGTAATTTAGTCCAGACTTATGGTTGTAGATGATAATAGCTTGAGGAACACAGATAAAGACTTGGACATATACTATAATTAGGGGGTTAATTATGTTTATATTACCTTTGATGGTGCTCAAGCTCTCAGTCGTCCCCACGCACTCATCTCAAATTTTCTTATGTCTGTATACCACTTCCTAGCTGCCTGCTCCCTCACACCCCGTTTCTCAATATGTTGCCCACAGCTGCTTCTGTCTGAAAACTGTCCAGCTAATTAACTGGTGGGTCTGTGGTAGTAATAAGAATCATGACAGCAGATGAACAATACATCTGCTACTCTTAAATTTTTCTAATGACACTGGGTCCACTTTGGGCCTCATTGCAACTCGCCATTCACCCAGGGACTGTACAGCTTCTAACCAAGTCTCTACCCCCACAGAAACCACTGACTTTGATTTATGCATGACAGTTTTAAAATATTCCATTAGCATCAAGATTATAATTCCCTAGCTAAGCTTTAGGTAATGCTTCAATTGTATAAAAATTATTCTTGATAATTCCAGTTTTGATGTATTGCAGATACATCATGCAAATGTATGATCATCAATCAGTAAATCAATATTAATACAACTTTTCAGATAAATGCTTCAGATAACAAGTAATCGAATAACAATTAAATCCAAGTTCTGTTTTAATTTTGTTGTAAAACTTTTTTAAACTAGCAAAATAAACAAATAATTTTACTACGTTGTAGGTACAAATGTGCAGCTGCCTCTTGTGTGACCATATCATTTTGACAAACTACTGTACATTAGCTATATTACTACACTTGAACCTTTCTGTTACTGTGAAGAGATATAGAACATAAACAGACACCGACATCTCAAGGAGCCTGCTATAAAGTGTTATTACACTGAGCTATAAAAGTGCCAGATAACTTAAGGTTAAATAAAGAGTGAAAATGAATTAGATAGTTAAGAACCAAGAGCAGCTGTATTTGTGTGGGAACATATTAGTGCTTTGGTTTCCAACCATTTGCTGAATTTGGGACCAGCTCTTAATACCCAGCACAAATAAAGAGCTAAACTAAAAATGTATGAAGCTTTAAAAAAAATTCAATACTAACTGCTTTGAGTACCTTAAACGTGTTAAATATTTTTTGTACAATTGTGTCATTGTCCATCTTCAGTCACCAAGTCTGCTCCCCTAAAACATTTTTGTTTTTTTACAATCAGGGCCTTAGTTGTATCGTTGTAGCCATTATTTTTGCTGGCTATAAAAACATTTTACAGACCAAATTAATCAGTGAGATCTCAAACTGTGGCAAAATTTCTGAAAAATAGTCCTGTTAAATTTATGCCACCTCTTAATTGGGCTTAGAGCACAAACACACATGGCAAGCCACCAGACTTGGTGTACGAAGTATTTTTCTAAACAACAATACTTACCCTTACGTTTTTTCAGACATGTATTTAATGAGGGTGTTCCTTTCATTTTAAAACTGTAACATAATAGTTTATTTGTCAAAATAAAAACAATTAGAATAAGATCCTGAAGGCCATCCTGTGTGAATATATTTTCAAATATATAGTTAGGTCTAGTCTAGTATTTGGACAATAAGACTTGTTTTTAATTTTTGCCTGTCTACATGACCACATTGGATTGAAAATTAAGCAATCAAGGTATAATTGAGTATTGAATTTCGGATTTAATTAAAGGGGTTTGAAAAAATAATAACCACATTTTTTACACATCCCCTCTCTTTTCAAATGCTCAAAAGTAATATCACATAAGCTGTTTTCCTTTATCTTATGACAAATTAGGGGATAAAAGTTTGAAAGGTCAAGTATAGAATTTGCATTTGGTAGTTGTTCCTGAGAACTCTTAAAATGCAGATCAGACAGGTGTCATTGGATGTGAAAAGACCATCGTTAGGCTGAAAAATAAAACCGACTTATCAATGAGATAGAAGAATTTTAAACCAAGGTTTAACTTGGATGATGTGAAGAGAAAGGCATGGAAAATGAAAGGAAGGGCTAATTATCTATGTGTAACAAATTATCTGTAAAATATAGTGGAGACAATGTTAAGGCACGTACAGCTGCTAGTAGAACCAAGTCATCAGTTTTTATTGATGGAGTGCTGATAGCAGTACCAGGATGAAATCTGGTGTGTACAGATATTTATTTTTCTCAGACTCTAAGCCTGTAGTACTGATAGAATGGCACTTCACAATACGAATGGCACACTTTTCATTCTTCATGCTACAGTCACAACAGGGAAAACTGTGGCCAAGACCATGGCACAACCCAAATTATTGTCACTGTGTAAGCTAACTTGCAGTCAATAGGACTTTATAATGGTTGCTTGGAAGACGGGGATCAGGTCAGCAACCACTTGCACATCTTCAAAGTGACTTTGATGTGCCAAGATGGCGTTAAAACAGCAAAAAGATGGAATAATTCTACCATCTGTCTACTATCAGTTGGTGAATAAATGGGGTTAAGTTAGCAATTACATGGAGTGTATTTGTGGTAATACACTGTTTAACTGTAAATTTGTGAAAGTGGTCATTTCTAATCCCCCCCAAAGCCACATGTCCATTGATACTATGACTGCTCCCAGACTACCAAAAAGCGAACCAAAAAAAGCGGCAAATAATGATTCAAGCATAAAAGAAAATTGCAAAGTAAGAATAATAAAGCATCCTCGACTGTACCAAAGTGTAAAACAGTTAAACATGGATTCTTAAACATTAGATTGCTCTCTTTTAAGTCCCTGTTTGGAAGTGGTTTAATAATTGATCAAAATTTAATTTGCTCTGCCTTGCAGAGATCTTGTTACAGCAGGATGAATATGTTTAAATGAACACCCCCAAGTCATACCAATTGTCAACTGTTGATGCACAGGCCGTAGAGGAGGTGTGGCAGCAATCTTTCATGCCAGCTTATTAATCAACCAAAGACCCAGACAAAATTTGAAACCTTAACTTTCAGCCTTAACTTTCAGCCTGTTCACAAAGAACAGTTTTGTTTGTTGGTATCTCTTGGTTCTATCTGAATTCTTCAACATTTTGTTTGAGTTAGTGCTCAGTAATTATAGTTTAACATTCATGTAGATGCTGATAATGACAGCCTCAACACTGGAATTAATCTATTATTAGACTCAATTGACTTCTCTCAAAATGTAAGTGAGCCCACACACTTTAACCATACTGAACATGTTCTGACATCTTACATAGAACATAGAACCAGAACACTACTTATCAGCATTCGCTGAGAACCCTTTATTGTCTGATCACTTCTTAATAACTTTTAAATTTACAGATTACAGAGCAGTCTGGAATAAATGTCAATACAGTAGATGTCTTTCTGAAAGTGTTGTTACCGCATTCAAGGATGTAATTTCTCCACTGTTGTTTTCAATTGCATGCACCACACCAATGCAGAGGCTGATTATCTCATTAATTACATCACCATCCTGGATACTGTGGCTCTGAAAAAAGAAACCCTCAAATCACTAGTGCTTAACTCACAAACACAAATCTTCATTTAGCCTGAGAAAAAGATTTTCTTGCTCTTTCAAAAGAAAACAACCTCAGGTCTTTTTTTAAAAAAAAAAGCATTCCAAGCATTCCCTTAATCTTAACTAATGATTTCACAAATTTCTGTACAAATAAAATTGTCATCATCAGAGAGAAAAATAGTCAACCTAAAAACACAGACCATTATTATGGTTCGGTACTACTTAAACTCTACAATTGATCTCTCTGAGTTAACTTCAATAATTGCTTCCAAACCATCAACATGTCTATTAAACCCTCATTCCTACTATTCCTACCATTAATTAGTGTTTCAATCTTAAATGTGAATAATATATCTCTGTTAATGGGCTGCCTACCACAGGCCTTTATGTTGGCAGTAACTAAACCATTAAATTTAAAAATCTGTCACTTGACCCAGCTGGATTAGCTAATTATAGACCAATCTTCAACCTTCCTTTTATCTCAAGCAATGTTGTTGTTTTTTTGAAGAGTTTAGTCAGTATACAAAATTAATCACAGTAAAGAAACAGCAATCAACACTGTTGACCACAATATTTTATTAAAGAAATAAGAGCATGCTGTAGGTATCAAAGGAATTGTGCTGCAGTGCTTTGAATCATATCTATCTAATAGACTCCAGTTTATTCATGTAAATGAGGAGTCCTCTTCTCACGCTAAGGTTAATTATGGAGTAGGGCTGCCACAAACGATTATTTTGATAGTTGACTAGTCACCGATTATTTTTGCGATTAGTCGACTAATCAGATCATGCATCCATTGGATGTAAAATGTACAGCTTATTGCACCAGCATGCATCTGCTCTTATATAACTATCATTAGCTTACAGCTTTAACTGTTTAAGGTATGTGCTAGCTAAAAATAAAGACAAGATGATAGTTTATTAAATTTGAATGAAATCTGCAGATTGTTTCGGTTTAATAAACTCAGCCGTCTGCTCCTTGCTATCTAAAATATAACAGGACACCGGAGTATATTCTTGAGCATCTCACACTTCTGATAATCAGTTGTCTGCTTGACGTTTATTCAGCTGTGTAAAAACTATAACTTTAATCTCAGACAAACTGATTTACTCAGGAACAAATAAAATACTGAAAAAAAGCCAAACAATAACATTTTTAAGTTATCTAAGTAACTTATATATCATGTTTAACCTGAGTAGCGAAAGACAGCCGTGGGTTTGAAAACGATTTGCCGGGAGTCCGGTGTTCTCACCGGCTCTAGTGAGCCTTGAACCCCGACTAGCTATCGAGCTGGTGGGTAACAGACGTCTCCAAAAACATCGGAGCGCTTTTGAAAATATGTGGCGTCTCAATAAACTGAGCAGATATTTGAAGTTTACACAGTTGCATTCTCGCCTGAAAATATGTTAAACATCTATTTTGTGACCCAGAAAGTATAATAAGAGCAAAATTAAAAATAACTACCTGCCGCCATTGTTGGAAACTGAGCAGAGCCGCGCTATGAATTCTGGGATAGGTTGGGCCACGAATTATACACCCGGACCCATCCTTCAAATCTTGGGAAATGAAGGCCGCATTTGTTGGAGTCTTCGAATTTGGACAGTCTTCGTCGTGTCGCTGTAACGTAATCGGCCTACAAATGCGGGCACAGAAGGATGCGGTTCCTGAATTTGGACGCAGCTACGATACCGGACACTGCTTCTTCTTTGGGGTTTAACGGCAGCTGGCATCCTTGTACATGCAGTGCTGCCATCTTCTGTTTCAGTCCATTATTACACAAATCCTACCACTTATTCCTGCATCTTTTTGGATCTTACAAAGCTTCAAATGACGCGTCGACTATTAAATTAGTCGTCGACAATTTTCATAGTCGACGTAATCATGACTAGTCGACTAACCGTGGCAGCCCTATTATGGAGTTCCACAGGGTTCCGTGCTGAAACCAATTCTGTTTACATTATGCATGCTCTCCTTAGCCAGTATGATTAGAAGGCATAGCATGCCTTTTTCATTGCTATGCAGATGATACCCAGGTATCCATTAATCCAGATCACACACTACTGCTGGGGGCTTCCCATGATGCTTCTTCAATCACCTCTTTTCATTCTCTGTTTATACACCACTGCATTTAATCATTAGTTATTATTGACTGAGTCAGTCACCTGACTTCAACCCAAAATTAAGCATACATTTCTCTTTGAGAAAGAAAAAACTCTAGCAGAAACTTTTAAGAAAAGGAAGCAATCTAACTCAGTTGCAGTAGAGGCCTAGCAAAGCATTTCAAATTTGGTGAGGTCTGTTGGGTTTCAGATCCAGATACTCCACATTCGCACATTTAGCAAGCTTTGGCAATTGTCTTTGTATCAGAAAAGAGTTACTATTCCTATGCCCAGTTTGAAATAGATAACTGCTGCTGTGTTCTTGTCCATCTTTGCTTATTGTTATGATTGAGTAATTCCTTTTGTTAAACCTCTGCTTTATTTCCTGATTTCTTAATTTCCAATTCATTGTGTTCATGTACAATGGCAAAGTTGAGTCACTGTCAAAATTATGTCACTGTCTGTGCTGTTTTTAACCTCTATTGGTGTCACATGGTATGTAATTGATACAATATTTATATTTATCATCCCTTGTTAATCTGTTTTCTGTCTCTCAAAGGTTACCCTAATATTGTGGCAACGTATGGTCGTGGATACACTGGATTCGCGCCCAGCTACAGCTACCAGTTCCCTGGTAAGTTAATGCTTTCGTAAAATATTGGTGTTGCAGCCGATTTCTGTTTTGCTCTCTCAAGCAGCACAATCAGACACACTTGCACACGCATACACAAAAGATGGTCAGTGTACACGTCAGTCACCAAATAATCTCCAGGGTTATAAGTGTGCTACGTGTCTGGATTCCTCAACAAAATTTTGAAAGCTGACATATAGTGAAGTAAATTGCTTACTCCTTTTTATCCCATACTTGAACACCACCATGACCAAATGTCTAAAATGGGAGATGTTCTTCGTCTTCAGTGGTCCAATGTATGCAAATTCGTCTGTGGAAAAGCGGAAAAATAAGCATCTCTTTTTGTTGGCAGATTTTTAAAATGTGGTCCTTATAATGGAAAATGAATAAAGTCATTTTCTGCATTAAAAGTGTTGACTCAGAGTGCCGGGCACTTTAATGGGACTCCAAATGGCAGGCGTGCAGTTTGGAGGTGAGCAGCTGTACCTGACTGCTGCAAGAAGGGCCAGTGGCTCTGTGGTGCTTCACTTAGACAGGCATCCTGTCAATTTCATGCTTTATTTAGGGACTTTACACATACTTTGTTTGCCATGCCAGACATCATTCCTTCCACTGATAAGACGGAATGAGAAATATCTGACAGCGTCTCAGATCTCTGTAATATCTTTGTGAAATAGATTCAGAAATGGTTAGACAGGAGGTCCAGCTGTGACCACCTGCAGATCAGATATATGCTAGTTTTATACTTGACCACAACACTGTTCCACAGAAGAAAAAGGAATAGCACCTACTTATTAGTGTGAGTGAATATAAAAAGTATACAAATGAGGTCTGATTCGTTAAGAGTGACTGATTAGACAAAAGATATTATTTAATTCATATAACTGAATGACTCCAACATTTAAAACAATTGCTTTTGTGTATCTTACATGAATCTTAAATACTACCCTTAAAACCATCCTAGCGTGTGTGTGCTAGGTCAACAAAATGAGAGAAATAGGACTGAACGGTAAAGGAATGATGACTATTTTTTCCTTGTAAGTAACTCTAGTTAAACATAGATTTTTAAAATGTTTACTATTTACAACAAATTAGGGAATATCACCTTCCCCGAGGCAGAATGTAAGATCCTGTCCATGTTAAACTCAATTTAAAGAGTTTGATAAAGCTGTATGATTAAAACAACCTCCTCTGGGCTCGTTCAACTCTTGACAGGTAATTGGAAATTTTAATGTATGAATCAAGCGTCTTATCCAAATTAAATAACCTCAGGCCAAATATTGACTAGTGTCCTTCCTTACTAAGATGTGGAAAGCATCCTCAATTTAAGATCAAAGGCTTTTTTTCTCACTGTACACTGCCTTGCTGAAACACTCCTATAAATAAATGGTGCTGGGGCCTCGCAGTCTAGATCCAAGAGGCATAAATTGTGAGCAGCATTTCAAGGCTTTTTTTCTTTTTTTACCCTCAGTAAACCTCAGGGGTCCACTGTTAAGAGTTAAGAGAAGCAGTAAGGAAATTGTTCAATTGTCAAGAAAAAACAGTGATGAAACATTGATTAGTGAAGAAGCACTGAATTAAGTACAACAACTCAATAAGACAGAAACGGAAAAAAAGACAAATCAAAACTGACAAGTCTGCAGCTGAAACAAGGTTCAAGTGTACAAAACATAACCTAAAATAGAGCTGAAATATACACAGCCTGAGATGGGGAACAGACAGCACTCAGTGCAGTCTGTTCAACTCAAAGCAGACACCTGCACCGTGGCTGTTAAACAGTAACTGACACTCCCAATTAATTCCAACATTGATCACAAAGTGCATTCGATATTGATCACATGCACTATGCTTGTGTCTATATTTGTCAGCCGTGACGTGCTTACAGAATAGTTCCATCATAGCATGGGCATCATTACTCTTTAATGCACTTACAAGGATATGCATATTACTGTTACAGATTGCTGATATAAATCAAATTGTACTGTATATGTCAAACATGAGCATGTATCAGAGCACTGCCCCAAAAGGGCAAATTCCAACCTCAAACTGTGGTATTTATTGTTTCTAAGTCCCATTAAGTTGCTGAGCTACAGATGCTTCCCTGGCACAGAAAAAAGTAATGATGTCTAGTTGAGATAAATTGTTACATTTAATGTCAACCATCCAGGTAGGGAAATCCCAAAAAGTTGATTCTGTTCGTCTGGACGTAGTGTTTTCAACTCCAAAGGTTGGACAATTGACTGAAGAAGTCCCTTCGATGAGTGACGAAAGTCAAAATGCTACGTCCAGACGAACAGAATCAACTTTTTGGGATGTTATATTTAATATAATGATAATGATAATGAATGTGTCACTTTGGGGATATCCCAGGAAAGCTCTCATGTATGCCACAACTACAGAGAGTGGCGTGATAAATTCATGGCACATCTGCAGACTACAAGATGGATTAATAGAGTTCCTGACAGACTAATGTGACTGTAAAAAGGGCAAAAAGGGAAGAAATTGCAGATCTTGCAGCATCAAAAATGCAAAAAGGCATTTGCAAATGTTTTATGAGGCATAAAATACATTTAGCCTGCAAACAATTCAGCTTGATGAGAAACATCAAATGGAAACAGAAAATTTTTCGGTTATAAAAAAGAGCTAAAGGGTACCTATGGTTCATCAAACATCTGAGGGTTAAAAAAATTAGCTCCAAGTGTCAAAATGCTGTTAAACTGATTTACATTCCTTTTATAGTGTGAAATCACAAATTCTGTCACACGTGTCAGATACACATTCAGCTCTGTGGAAGTCCCCAAAAATAAATCTTTGTTCTAAGCATGTTTGTCCCTTTTTTTTTTCTTTTTTTTTTAGCTTTTACAGAAACATTTATACCAATAAAAGAAAGCGAGCAGCGTTTGGTAAATATGCTTTCTCTGATGTTTTTTTTATTGGTTTTAAAACTATAACTTTTTTTTTTTTTTTGCTGCAATCCTGTAATTACACACTGTTTACCTTGCAGCTGCATAATTTCAACATTATGATTGAACTTCACAATGAACTTAATTTCGGAGACAATGCTGTATACGGGGAGCATAGTGACAATCAAGAAGATAGCGATGTTTGCCTCAGAATTAAAAAGGGTAAGGAGGTGCAACAAAGTGGCCACATTCCAACATTCCAAAAACTGTGTTGTGGTTTTTCAGTTTATAAAAGAATTTCTTTATGGTAGTGAACGCAACTACTCAATTGCTTATTATGTTGAAGCATTATATTCTCCAGCTTGTCTGTTGGATGGGTCAGTCTGATGATGACAATGAAGACTTGGGATATTGATCATTGTCTGATCCCACTGTGACAAAAAAAATTAAACTTTCATATTGTGGGCTTTTATTGTGTCAAATTGATGTCAGACTGAGATTCAGACTGTCATATCAGCATAAGAATATGATGTTACCACTTCCTGTTTGGATATAAACTTGCCTACTTTAAGATGACGAGTCTGAGTGAGATGGCTGTGTTAGATATTTATCCTGAGCTTAAGGTCTGTTTTCAGCTTCACGGAGGTGGCTGCCTTTTTACCTGACTGGGTCCACGCTGTGCAAGTTACAGCAGTGCAAAGTGTGCATTGAATTTTCTCTGGAATTTACACGCTTGCAGTTTGATTTAAAAAAAAATCATAAATGTTTGTAATTTTCTGCCAATCCAATTTTTACATTGCTGGAATTATAGTAGTAATATATTGACTCAAGTTAATAAAGGATCAGATAATAACATTAACAATTTTCTGCAGTATTTACTCTCTTGTCTTGTAGTGTAGTGTGGAATTTTGCAATCTCTGATAATCTGAAAATCTGAAAATCTCTGATTATGGTAGGCAATGGTCAGCTGAGCTATTTTCAGTTCAATTCAGTTTTATTTATATAGCGCCAGATCACAACAACAGTCGCCTCAAGGCACTCTATATTGTAAGGCAAAGGCGCCACAATTTTGTGCAGTTGTAGGCGACTGCACACAGAAACTAAGAAATTAAAGCAGAAAACAAGGGTTACTGAAAAAAGCTGATAACCACATCACAATTAGCAGACATGTGACCACTAACCACATGACAGAAACTTGTCAGCCATCTTGGACATGTGACTATCATGGTGACAATGTAGGAAGCGAATAAGGTCCGAGTCACATGAGTTTAGGGACTGGTCAGTGACCACCTGTCAAGCTCCAATCAATGGGAAAAAATGACTGGTTACAAGTGGTTACTGGAGCTCACTGGGAAAGTAATGGCTAAAGCCACAGAGTCCTAGATTACTCCCATTCTTGTGTCTATCCTCCAACCAGAGAAAATTTAAATGAACCACTGTTGAGCTGTAGTGAAACTACAGAAAGTGCGACAGATATCAGAAATGCAGACTGTTTGCTTTCACAGTAAAACTTGAACTTCTTAAAACATGTTGGCTGCAACTTTGAGACACAACTTGTATTAAGCTTGCTTTAAATGTATTAAAGCAGGCTTAATACATTTCAGTTTGTATTGCATTTTCTCTAGTTTTGCTACACCTCGGCTAGTGGTTAGTGAATGTTTGCAGGCAAACATGAAAAATTACAGATTGCCATGGACATCTGGTGGTAACCAGCACTAGGTTACTACCAGATGTCCAAAGCACTGGGACAGGGGTGGCCAACCAGTCAGAGACCAAGAGCCACTTTTTTTTTTTACTGTGTTACCGCAAAAGCCACATCATACGCATGGGCACACATGAACATCACCCATCCTTTCCTCCCTCTCTCTCTCTCTCTCTCACACACACACACAAAATACACACATCTCTGCTCCGCCAGATTTATTGTAAATGTCACACACCAACATGATAATGACAGAAATGGAGTACTAAAAGTACTAAGTACTAAAACCACAGGCCAGTGATTTTCAACAATGAACATTGTGTGCACTTTCTCACACACACAAACTCTCAGTTCAACCAAGTCCACAAACAAAAATATAATAATCTACAATAGCATTT